CCCCTGACCTGAAGGGGTATGACTGGGAGGCATCTCCAGTTGGGATGGTGTCTGATTGGACCATGTGATGGACGTGTGGGTGCTGGGCAGGGGGTTGGACTTTCACTTGGATGGGGGAAACCTGGAAGCTTTCAAATTCGGGCTTTCCCAGATGTGCCGATATGACATCTCTAATAAAATAGATCTTTGAGGAACTTCAAGCCTCAGAGTCTTCTTTCGTTGGGGGTGTTCCTTGGAACCCTGAAACAACCATTAGGACTAGAAGAGAGAATATAGTTGACAGAATTGGTGCCACTTCCATTAACATTTGCGTTGATCATCCCAAGTAGTAGCCTCCGTGAAGATTGTAACAGCTTGGGGGGGCTGATGTAATTGAGTTGTTTAGAACTTTGTCTAATAGTACCTTGGACTTTGAACCTGGTTTAATCGCAAAGAGGCAACTTGTGTGTATATTTTAATATAGTTGACAGGCCAGTTAATAACCTGGCCATTGTATTCGGCATTAAATGTAACTTCTGAATCAGTATCAAGGACAATTCCCCATAGAGCACTTATCATTGCATGAATTGTGCTAGTTTAACTCTTCCTTTACAGTTGGCCACTTAGGTTTAATGAAACAAGGTGGCCTATAAATGAAACATGTTTATGGCTGAGATGTGGCTGCTGTAAACCAGAGGTCTTCAGACTTGCATAGCAGGCTGGAGAATTCTGGGAGTTGAAGTCCACAAGTCTTAAAGTTGCCAAGTTTAGGGACTCCTGCTATAAACCTTCCCATTCTTTCAAATAGCCCATAAAGGGTATTACTGCTTCTGTTCATAACTAGGTGGTGGTTTTTTTCCCCAAAACATTCAAAGCAAAATTGGGTCATATGTTTTCTTTTCTGGTTTCAGGTCAAATATGGAAATTACGCCTTTGTTTGGGATGCCGCCGTTTTGGAATACGTTGCTCTAAATGATCCAGATTGTTCCTTCTACACCGTTGGGAATACTATTGCAGATCGAGGATACGGAATTGCTCTTCAACATGGAAGCCCCTACAGAGACGTCTTCTCACAAAGGTAATGTGGTTAGAAGAATACCAAAGTTGTCTTGAGACTTTTGGCTTTGCTTATGCAGAAAATATATCACCTTATTTATACATGAATGCACTGGGACATAATTACAATGCACCCATAAGAACCATAAAGCTGAGGATAGTTTATATTGTAGTTGACCATAAAGCAGTTCCACAGAATTGTGCTGATTTTGATTGGGGGGGTAAGGATGGGTATTGTCAATATTTTTGCTAAAATTAAAAAAGAATGCTTGAATGTGCTCGGAAGATAATGATAAAGAGCTGGAGCGCATAGTAAAGGGACAGCTGTTGCAGTAGAGAAGATTATGACAATGGTTCTCAACCTGTGGTCCACAGACCTTGGGGGGCTGCCATGTCATCGCAGAGGGTCAGAAAAAGCTTGAAGAAATGTTATGATTTAAACCTTATGTTAAGTCTTGGGGGGGTTTCCTGGCCATGATCCCCAGCTACAAAATGAATTTAAAGAGAGTTTGTGGTGAAGAAAAGGTTGAGAACACTGGATTGTGAGGTTAGATTTTTTTTAAAAGAGGCAGAGTTTTGATTGTACCATCATGAAAGGCATCTTTCTTTTTTGGTCCATACTCTGCAAATACTGAAGGTCTTATGAGTGCTCAAATAGTTTGACTAATTGCCTTACTGTATGATTTATGGTACCAACATAGGTAACTTTGAAAGATGAATCTTGCCTCATCCAGATCTCAGTATTGTAACTGTGGATATCAGCAATGAGAGGGAGGGAGAGAGGGGGAGAGGGGGGGAGGGAGAGAGGGAGGGGGGAGGGAGGAGGAGGAGAGAGAGAGAGAGATCTCGGGCGGGTCCCAGTTCTATTTTAAAAAATGGTTCAAAATTATAAAATCATATAAATATGCTTTCTGGAAAAAAGAAAGAAAAAAGTTATATCAAGGGCTAGTGTTTATATAGGATGATTGCAAAAGAGGGCATATCGATTGTAAATATAGGTTTTAGAGGTTTCTTCAGGAATGAATGTAGGTTTCTGTGTATAAAAAAATTGTCTATGTATTGGCATAATACTGTATGTGAAGGGACAAAATATAGTTTATTACTTCTCTGCAATCTGTACAAAGACTTTATACAGTTGCATAAATTGAATTTATAGACCTTGCTTTAGAATTTAGAGCAGGGAGTTGGACTAGAAGACCTCCAAGGTCCCTTCCAACTCTGCTATTCTACTCTACTCTACTCTACTCTACTCTACTCTACTCTATTATTCTAATACTGTATATGGTTGATATTGTGCTGTCAAAATAGTTAGTGCTACTGTTGTATTACTGGAAGCCAACACATCTATAACCACAGAGGATATCAATAAAGATGGCATCATGTCTGTTGCTAATTTTCGGGAGTACTAGAAAAACATGTAAGAGACTAATTTCTAGTGAGTTTGGATTGCAGGACTGATCTATGGAACATTAGTCAGATTCTACCGTAAAGTGACATATATAACAGAAGACTGTAATCTGGAGAACAGTCCTTTCAAAACTAGGGAATATGGAACTACGTAATTAATTCTTGTTGCGTTGCTTATATTTTCTAAATTTACATCATAAATATTCTTATCATTTTAATTGGGACAGTGTATATATGGTTATGCTTAGTCCTTTTGTGTATTGCTTTTGTATGGTTCTTACTTGCAATAAATAAACAACAGCAAATTGGAAAGATGAGTTGGCACAAAAACAGCAGAACGAAACCTGAACATCTGGAAGTTCAAACCATAGCTTTATCTCCCGTAGAGGTGTAAATCATGCTCTTGGAAAAATTTTGCATTGTCTCATGTCTCTTTCCAAACTGCCCTTAGAAATATGCATATATTATAATATTAGCATATATTCTGCAACAGCGCTTCAGCGTGAGGTCTCGTGCTGAGCAGCCATCATTTTTTATCATATTAAGATTGTAGTCCGTGTTACAAGTCACTGCATAGCACAGGCTGGCTTTATAGGTCTTGTTATTGTGTTGAATGTTTAGGGTTTTCTCAGACTATTCTGTTAAGCAAGGAAGTATTTTATATGACTTTATTAACATTGTTGTCTGCAGAAGTGGATTAAAAAAACAGCAAAAGGTATTTCTTGTCCTGCAGCTGAGCCATATTTATTAAGTTTATCACTTTTGGCCTGTTTAACAGCCCTTTGTTTTCATGTGATTTATATCTGCAAAAATATACAGAAAGCAAGATCATGTTCTTACCTGTTTATATTGTATTGTATTGTATTACATTACATTGCATTACATTGTATTGTATTATATTACATTACATTAGTCAAGTGTTCCAAGTATTGCACCCATGGAAAGTAGAACAGAACTGCGGCTTTCACCTAATTAAAAGATAAAAGTTTCCCCTTTCCCCCAAGTCACTGGTCATGCTGTCCAATCAAGGTGCTGGCCTGTTGCTTGGTTACTTCACTCCTCCTCTTGCCAGCCACCTGTGAAAATGTCCTTGGTTCCCAAAGGAAAACTTTATTTGCTACAAAACCCCATCTAGCTATTTATTGGCTACAAAATCCCATCTAGCTATTTCCCCCTCCTCCTGTTGTCTGTCTCTCTCTCTCTCTCTCTCTCTCTCTCTCTCTCTCTCTGTGTGTGTGTCTCTGTGTGTGTGTCCCCTCCCTATATTATCTACTTTGGTCCTTTCTTCTTCATGTCTAGCTGAACTGTATTTATTGAAGAAAAATGCAGTGATCTATACTAGAGTTTTCTTATTATAATTCAGGCTGTACATATTCACAATTTTATCTGATCTAAAATTAGCTTTTTAGTGGCAAATACTCTAGCCCATGGGTGTCAAACTCGTAGCCCGTGGGCTGGATGCATCAAGTGCTGGCCATGCCTACCCCCAGTTTAGCAAAGGGGGGGTCACAATACTTCACATGACAACAACCTGACGCCGTGAGTTTGAAACCCCTGCTCTAGCCAAATGCACAAATATTGATAGATGCTAGAGAGTGAAAAATTAAAGAGAATTCCATTGGAATATTTACATATGGTATATATTGCTGTGCAAGTATATGGATAAGTAGCATCTTCAAAGCATATAGCATTTTTATAGTCAAAGGACATGCATCATGGATTTTCATTCACCATTCATATTTTTCCCTATAATTTCACCATGAATGCACTCTTTATAAAATGTACATGTACTATTTCTATACATTTGGAGATCGATGTAGGATGCATATTTTCATCTGGGGAAAAAATGGATTTGCATCCAGGTACATTAGTGTAGTGGCTTACTCAATATTGGGATGAATCCCTAGATGAGCAGATGTTTGAGAGAACTCTAGCACTAGAAGAGACTGAAGATGAGAGTTATTAACATAATGAGAAAATAATTAGATGATCAGTATTGAAAACTGAGCCTTGAGAGACCAGGGGGCCATAGTTGCAGAAAGGGCCGGTACGAATGTTGCTGATTTTAAAGTGGAAAGCAGTTTTTAGCAAGCAGATGCATCAATGGGAAGCATTCATGTGAGAGAGGGTTTTCATAGCTCCCTTGGCACAGTTTCCCATGACTGCTCTCATGTGGGTTTTTCAAATCATCCTTTGCCTCTCTGATGAGGGAAGCTGAATCGCTGCCTCTGAATTCTAAATAGCAGCAAAAATAATTTTTTCCCCTCAGTGGAATTAGCAAACATTCACTCCAATACTTCAAATTTTTTCCGTGTGAAGGAGATCTGTTTAAAATGCATCCGTGAGTCATGCCTCCCCTCTTGCTTAGGATAAGAGGAGGAAAGACGTTCTTTCTTTGATACGAAATACTGGGGAATACTGGGAGTCCATCACCTTCTAATATTGGACATCCCTATGTGGCCATGACATAGGACGGTGATGGCAAACTATTGGCATGCGTGCCACCTGTGGCATGTGGAGCCATATATGAAGGCACGTGAGGTGTTGCCCTATGTCAACTCCAGCATGATATGCATGCTAGCCAGCTGATTTTCAGTCTTCTGGAGGGCGGGAGGAGGGCGTTTTCACCCTCCCCAGGCTTCAGGAAAGCCTCCAGAGCCTGTGGATGGCGAAAAACAGGCCCAATGGGCAAACCAGAAGTTTGGAAATGAACTTCCGGTTTGCCTGGAAGGGCCATTTGTTGCCCTCCACAGGCTGCAGAGGCTTTCCTGAAGCCTGGGGAGGCAAAAAATGGACCCAATGGCCCAACCAGAAGTTCAGAAATGATCTGTTTCCAGGGGGAGGCGTTTTAGCCCTCCCCAGGCTTCAGGAAAGCCTCTGGAGCTTGGGGTGAGTGAAAACTCCCCCCTGAGAGGGGGGGTGTTGTGTGCACATGTGCGGGGCAGGGGCCGCACGCATTCGCAGGTGGGTGGGGCGCATTGAATTGTGGATGTGGGAATGCATGCGAGCGCACAATTTTGGCATGCCTTTACAAGAAGGTTTGCCATCACTGACATAGGATCTTGAATTGTGGAGAAAACTTAGACTAAGAAAGGGATCTTTCTTTCTGACATGGGTGGAAGTTAAATCCAAAAGCTGAAGGTTGAATGGCTGAGGAATTCAAGAAGGGTCAAGGTAACACAAAATCTGGATGAGAATATCCAAAAAGGAAGCAAACCAAACTAAAGAAAGCAGACAGACAGGAACGTGGAGCTAGATCAGTGATGGGCACCTGAAATTTTACAGCAACATATTTTCAAGGGTGGGCTGGTGGGGGTTCACAGGGATTCAGGAGGACCTCTAGCTAAGATTCTGTTCAATTCGGAGGGCAAAAATGGGCCTACCGGAAGTTCAAGAAGGCAGGAAATGGGCGTCCAGGCCCCCAGATTTCTGGCCTCCGGAGCCTGGGGAGGCCATTTTCACCCTCCTGGAGGCTCGAGAAAAGCCCCCGAAGCCCGGGAGGCAAAAACGCCCCCGCTATGGTGCAGGAGACTGACTAGGCCACGCCCACTCAGCAACCAGGCAGAGAACCCCTTGCCAAAAATTTTGAAGCCCACCCCTGCATATTTTATGTCATGTCACGTCATGTCTCGTTATGTCATGTCACATTTGTTATGTTACTGCAGGTTCATAGAGCCTCCTAGGAGACATGAGAAGGTTAAAAGCATTTTCCCACAATGACCTTGGATCAAACAGTGCCTGTTTTTGACAACACAGATAGCAATAGCACTTAGACGTATGAATCACCCCATGCTTGTATATTTACAGCATTTTCTGAGCAGTTGACAATATCAGCCTATTTCTCTCAACAATCTGGGTCCTTATTTTACCAAGAAGGATGGAAGGCTGAATCAACTTTAAACCGGTCAAGCTCAAACACCTGGCTATTTGCAGAGTTAACCTGAAATATTGCATTCTAACCATTGCTCCGCCACCGCCATCTTCTCCAGAATAGTACAATCACTAAATAAACAGCTGTCTGAATGTAGTATTGCGTATCAACACCAACTCTCCTTTAGCTATGTCTAGTACACTCTGGGCCCATAACCAGTGTTAGGTAAGCTCCCCATTGGGAGAGCAAGTACGTTCAGAGAAGTGTTGTGAGTAGGCTTCTACTTTCGTGGAAATAGAGGTATCAGAGTCCATCAAACAGTCCAAGTTATACACGGATAAGACAGTCAGTCATCAACGTCTTTCAGTTAAGGGATA